TGTAAGTGCTTGTGCTCCTGGGTTTCCCCGTCAGATTTCCTTTTTTCTCTCGTTTTACGCTCGTTCTAGGCTGGTTTGAGCGTTTAGAGTGTCAGTTCTGCTCTTTTATAATTTGAAGCTTAATTAGTATCTGAATAAGCTTGCTCCTGTCCTGAGAGCTAGGCTTGCTTAGGTGGGGAGGAGCAATGTTCAGTCCAGAAATAAATGGGAAATAAATGAAGCTTAAAAAAAAAAAAAAATAGCCCCAAAGTGAGATGCTGCTTAATTGCTCTGAAATCCATCTGGTGCTCTGGGTGGTAAAGATAGAATAGAGTGTGTCATGCTGTGACATCCCACTTACGGATTCTATAGATTTTAGTAAAACTTGCCTGTATGATATTACAGTTGGGATATCCTGATGATTCATGAAGTACCGTGGTTATTTCAGAAACAGAGAGCTTAAAATAACACCACCCAGACCCCTTCTGTGATCAGTTCTCCCACAGCAGCCTGACAGCAGAAGATACTCTGCGCTGGAATTGAGTTGCAAAGCAACCATGAATTTAATCCGAGAAGCACTGTGTTGTTTCAGTGACCAAGAGCAGATGTTCGTAGTTTGATGCTAGGTGTCTGAAGTAGTGCACAGTTAACAGGTAAGTATTTGTACAGCCTGGGTTTATTGTGTTAATTTTCAGGCCGGGCCAGGTATGAAGTGTGGCTGCAGTAGGAGCATATTCTAACTAAGGTTCCTGCATGGCAGTTAGTGGTGCCTTGAGGAGTGGTCTGCAGTATCTTACCTTTGAGATGGCTGCGTGGCGAGTTAGAAATTGCCAGCTTTGGCAGCAAACTGGCGAGCACAACTACTCTGAGAGTCGCAGTGCTGCGGGAGCTGGAGGTGAGGGTGCAGCAGCTCCTCGGCCTGGCTCCTCTGGGAAGGAGCAGAGCAGAGGTGGTGTGTTTGGAGGCCGAGGTACTGAAATGCCGTACAGGCCGAGTGATGTCCACACGTGGTGGTGGTACAGGGAGGAGGTGTCTGAGTGACACAGCTGTGGGTTCAGGTGCGTTTCTAACAGCGTCTGACAAGTTCAGCAGTTCATATAAAACCGTAGAAGCAGACAATAGATACCTCACGTAGCAACTAAGAGCAAACACTCATTTTCTGTGTGAAAGCCCTGTTTGTAGATAAATGACATAAGTGGCTGTGCTGGGTTGCACTGAAGGTTCATCTGTCTAAGCATCTGTCCTGTGAAGCACCTGCAGCCCTGAGAAGATCAGACATTTTCCACCTTCAGGAGGCTCCAGGCCCTGTGGAAGCTGCTTGTGCACCATGGAGCGAGCGTGATCTCTTGAGCCTTGAGCTCGTTCCCTCTTGCTGATGAATCAGCCATGAAGAACATGGAACAGCCTTAATGTTTTTTTTTATGTCGAGGCTAGGCTAACAAATGCTGGACGGAGCAGGCTGTCTCAAATGCTGATGTGTCCAAGGTCGACGTGTTGATTAGGCCCAGCAGTAAGAGGGAAGGGTGTTTTTTCCCTTTTTCCAGATCTGCTTCGAACAAGCACAACATCCGTGAGATTAGAAATGTCTAAACCTCATCGGCCAGGAGCTGGGTGTGATAATTAAGCTTGTTAATTGTCCAGAAAACATGGCCCAGAAGGGAACAGGGCAAGTGTGTGGCAATGACACCCCTGTGTATACTGCAGCCTGGGAGATCTGCAACTTGGGGACAGTCTGAGTAAGTTTTTGGCTGCAGGCTGGGCAAAGAATAGATAGAGAGCAGCCCTGAGGAGGACTTGGGGGTATTGGTGGGTGGAAAACTACGTGTTTTGTGTGCTCGCAGTGTCCTGGGCTGCACCCAGAGCAGGGTGGGCAGCAGGTCGAGGGAGGGGATTCTCCACCTCTGCTCTGCTCTTATGAGATCCCCCTGCAGTGCTGGGTCCAGCTCTGGGGGCACCAGTACAAGAAGGGCATGGACCTATTCGAGCAGGGCCAGAGGAGGCCACGAAGATGCTTTAGGGGGATGGAGCACCCCCTGTGAGGACAGGCTGGGAGAGTTGGGGTTCAGCTGGAGAAGAGAAGGCTCCGGGGAGACCTTAGAGCGGCCCCCCAGGGCTGAAAGGGGGGAGGGACTCTGGATCAGAGAGTGTAGGGATAGGATGAGGGGTAACGGTTTTAAACTGAAAGAGGGGAGATTTAGATTAGATATAAGGACGAAATTCTCCCCTGTGAGGGGGGTGAGGCCCTGGCACAGGCTGCCCAGAGAAGCTGTGGCTGCCCCCTCCCTGGAAGGGTTCAAGGCCAGGTTGGACAGGGCTTTGGGCAACCTGGGCTGGTGGAAGGTGGCCGTGCCCGGGGCAGGGGTGGTGGGACTAGATGACTCTAAGGTCACTTCCAACCCAAACCATTCAGTGATTCTATAAGTAGCAAAATGAAAGACAAAACTTTCAGGCCTTCAAAAGCTTTGAGTCAGCTTTGGATCCTTGTGAAGACAAATCGTTACTAACCTCGTGGAAGTTCCTGTGGCTCTTAGCGTTGACAGTCAGTTTACTTTGATTCTTACACATGCAGAGGGAATGATAAGAAATCAAGTGTTGCTTTCTTAGTTCTTTTGCTCTGCTTCTGATCATTTCCTGCATCCTTTCGGTAGTCCACTTTGGTTTGGTCACCATGCCGTTATTTAAAAATAACCCTTTGTTTGAATTCTTCCTCTGACAAAGGTGGGTTATTTAGGGTACCTGCATTTCCCTTCAGAGAGTTGTACATTTGCATCAGGCGGTGCTCCCTGGGGTTAGGAGAGAGGCTCGCTGTGCACTGGTGGTTACACTGCTTTGGAAAACAGGAGGGAAAAACTAAAGTAAGCCCTATTACTCTGCCAGTTTGGCTTAATAGTTGTGTTTCTGACATCTGAAACAAACCCCGTCTCTTCCTTCTGTAGACCTTGGGGTTGGGGAAACCGGTTGGATTGTGCAGGAGAAATGGTGCACATCCCTGCTTTTCCTGGACTATCTTTAGGGTAGCATTAAGTGTTCATTTTAGTAAGAATGACACCATGAAGAGAGGGATTTTCTTACATTATTTGTGTTCCCTTAACATTTTAAGGGAACTTAAAAGTTGGGACTCCTGTGTATCTCTGGCACCTACTGGGATCTCTTTAGGGTTCAGCAGTTTAAAAAATAATCAGGCTGACTTGTCAGTGAAATGGAAGCAAAAATTTGAGAGGTTTTTTTTTTTTAAATGAATGCCCTTTTCAAATGGCTTCTGAAAGCTGTTTGCTCACTGAGGATGTATAGTGTGCTAGCTGTGAGAATGAAAATTTTAGAGTGCAATTAATGTACATTGATTTTTAGTAGCAAATAATGCCTGTGATTGTCTCACCACCATCGCTGCCTTTGTAAGAACAAGAATTTTTGGTTCATCTGGCAATTCTAGTATTGTGAACAAGGTTTTTTTATTTGTTCTTGACATTTTTCTTCAGAACTGTTTGATAGAAATATGCATGTGGGTACTTTTTTTTTTTTTTTTCCCTCTTAACCGATCAGAAACAATAGAACCCCACTTGTCGGCCAAACGCTCCGTCGCGGCAAACGAGCCTGGCACGTCCACGCCACTTTGCTCTATTGTGTCCGTGGAAGGCCCCCTCTGGATGGGATGGGAGTGAAAAGCGAAAAAATTTAAAATTTTGTTTAAAAGGAGAAGAAAAAGGCTTCTGTGTCACTTCCTACTGCAGCAAAATCTAACTGAAATTCCTCTAGAGTGATGGGCTTTCCTTGGGGTTTCTGTCTCAGGCCTTCTCTGACCTGTACAGTTTTCTGACAGCAGATCTCGATGCTTCCCCGTTGAAGTGTGCGTCAAACTCTGCGGCAGCAAGAGCCCCTGAATTTTCCAGCTTCTGCAGCCTGGTCTCCTCTGCTTCCTCACGCTGCTGAGCTGCGACCTTCATGGCCTGTGCTGTATTTAACTTCAAGGAGCTGCTTGATTGCAGACACCAGGAACAAGATTGCTTTCCTGGGAAAAACTCGTCTCTGCGTTTTCAAACAGTGAAAGTTCTCAAAATGGCTTTTTTTAAGGCAGAAGGCACGTCCAGCAGGTTACACATACACAGGCCTCCCAGCAGCCCAGGTCTGCGCCTCCTCCTAAAATAGGAGTTGGTGTTTATCAGTGAGGGAAATCGTCTTGTTTACATGGGAGTGCTGGAATATTATTTTTGGTCTCAAACCTGGTTTGTGGGAACTCTTGCTTGAATTCCTTAGGGCTGATAACGTGTCTCTTGCTGTTAATTACCACATAAACTCACAGCGGCCCGATGAGGGTTTGTGTGCACCTAACGGTGCTGGTTTGCTTTGAGTGAGGTTTTCTCTTCTAGGCTAAGCCTGAAGCAGGTTTTGGGTGAAAGGAGACAGCAGCGTGCCCGGGGCAGGCAGCTCCCATGCTGGGTGCTGCAGGAGGTGCTGGTGTCCGCAGCTCCCGGTAATGCTGCCGCTGCAGTTTGCATGTGCGTGAGAGTGCTCTGCTGTCACCAGGGATGTCTTCCTGGTGGCTGGGGAGAAGGGAGGAGGATGGGTAGTGTGTAGTGCCAAGTTTTTTGTGTTTTCAGTACGTGACTGTGGGGAATTGCACCAAGACTTGGGCTCTGCTCTCACTGGAAGAGCTTGGAATTCCTTAACTTCATTGTTTCTTAGCTTCCCAACCTCATGAATGGTCCGTAGGTTCCTACAAGGGCCCTGCAAAGCAGCCGCGTGTATTCTGTTACATGATGCACCAGATTTTGTCTTTGGGGAACCGTTACTGTGTTGTATATTGGGACAGGGCTCAAAATGAAGTTGCTTGCGACTTTGGTGTTATTGCAGTAAACGAACAGAAAGCCTGACACTCCCTTCTGTTGCAAAACATTTCTGCTTTAACATTAGGAAGGATTTGCTTTCCCTGGGGGTGGCCTTGGGGAATAGCAACTAGCCTGGGATTTTTTTTTTTTTGAAAGTGAATATGATTTAACATAAGGTGTTTTTTTTTTTTTCCTTCTTTGTTTTTTAATGTTAGGTTTGTGCTGGCTGTGGGCAGCGCAGTCTTCGATGCGATGTTTAATGGTGGAATGGCCACAACTTCTACAGAGATTGAGCTGCCTGATGTGGAGCCCGCTGCCTTCCTAGCTCTGCTGAAGTAAGCTTCTTCTGATGTGCAGTATAACTGGAACAAACAGATTTATTGTATAGAAGGATGTTATTAATGAAAGCAACAAACCATTTTGTAGAGTGGAAATCATTAAGTTTCTAAATAAAATGTCTCTTAGTTGATCTTTCAAGGGCATTTAAATTCTGGTGTTACATCCCTCTTTTCCTGGGTAAAAGTCTAGTGTAGCTACTACACAAAAATGTCTGACTTGCTTCCCGTTTCGGTTTAGCAATACATAAATCAGTATGCTCTCCTGCTGCTGATCTGTGCTATGGGCCAAAACTAAACTGGATGGTTTATCATTTTGTAAAGATGTAGTTACACGTAGTTACACCGCACAAATGCAGCAGCAGGGAGGTGTTCTGGTCAGGAGCTGGAGTAAGTGCATTGTAGTTAAGCTGCTACCTGCCTGTTCAGACATTGTCTTACAGATTCTTGTTCATGAGTTAGTTTGATCTGATCCAAACGTTATTTGAGAGAAGTGGGGAAAAGTAATCCTCTTAAAGCTCTGTAAGCTACGAATACTTGGAGCTCATTTAGGTTATGGGCAAACGAGCAAGTTGGAACAGGTAAGGGTATGAAATCAGTGTCAGCCATTCTGTGCGGTATCTCCCCTTGTGCGTGTTTTATTCCTCTTTTGGAGAGCTGGTTTTGAATTTACATTTGCAGTGTGCGTTTTAGATCTGCATATGTGGGGGAGAAGGAGGAGGGAAGGGGCTGTAACATCCTATTCACTGATTTCTTTAAGCTCGGCTGGTGCTGTATAACATCCAGCAGCAATTCTGAATGTGTGCTGAAAAGTCATTGTCCCGTTTCTATAGGATTTCTGTAACCTACTTCCAGGGGTTTCCAGTCCTGTGCTCTTGACATGTTCCCCTCTTGCTTCCTACTGGGAACAATGACTATATATAGCTTTGGCACACTTTTTGCTTTACCTTCAAAAAGTGCTTTGGTTACGACTCTGCTACCTCAGAAGATTTTAAAATGGGTCTTTGCTAGAATGAAAGGCCAGAAATAACAGGGAGCCCATAGCCCCCTCCCCTCTGGCTCATTTTAAACCAGACACTGGCACATGGGGAATCCCTCTAATTGGCGTATGACCCTGTCAGCCAGGTAGGTCTGGTGCAGAGTTAGTATCTATCTTTAAAACTTAGTGAGGCTGAAATATTGAGTGAATTGTAGGCAAAGTCATGTTTCCCTGCCGGTGCTAAGATTTCAGCACTTGTATAAAATATGATCTTGGAAGAGAACCGTCATCTGAAAAGACTGAAGTGATGAATCTGGGTGGATTTCAACAGAAATGTTTTATATTTTACATAGGAGAAATTGTGTGTGGATGATCATGGTGCCTCTACAGCTTGCAGTTATGCTACAGTAGCTGTGCACATGGTCTAGTGATAGCTCAGGTGCTTACATCTAGGACTGAACTGTCAGTTTTAAAATGTTCAGATGTGCCAAAGGAAGTTTGGGTGGTGTGCTCCAGTAGGAAGCTTACCAAGTACATGGTATGAAACTTCCTAGAGTGAAAATGGTCCCTCCAAACACTGGTCTGAACTCGCAGCTGGGCTTGGGCCACACCGTGACCTAATGCTGGAGGATCAGGAGCGTATCGAGGGACTAAGTGCCCATCCTGAATGTTCAGCAGAAGGTCCCTTCTGGACACTAGAGTCTGTCTGTGGGCTGGTGGCCTTTAATAGGTCTGCTGTAATTGCGTAAGAGAATCTTTTTTTATTATTATTTTCATGGTAACCCAAAGAACATTTTGATTGTCTGGGTTTATAATCTAAATCTTCTTTTAAATCGATACCACACTTTTTTTTACAGTTTGAGCCTCTCTTGTTATCCCTTTTAGCACACACTGTTTGGACTGTCGTAAAAATAAATACTAACATAGTCATTGCAGTAAACAAACTAGTTGTTTTTAGAGCAACTGTGTTCTTTTAATCTTGTAATAAAAAGGATTACTTAGTGGAAATAGGGCTGGTGAAGGGATGTGTGCAAAACGCATTCATGAGCCTGTGGCTTGATGCTGTTATTAACAGATGCTCTAGAGCAGCACAAAAGCCCGCTTTCAACAGCAATGAGAGCGCTTCCCTTCCTCTGAATCCCCCTGTTTATGCTTCCCTGGATTGCATCCTGGCCCTCTCTAGCTGGAGGACCAGGAGCTCCGCTGCTGCTCTGCGGCACGTCCCTCCAGACAGGGACACTGCCTGGCATTCCCCAGGAAGAGCCCTGCTGCTGCGCGAAGCCTCCAGGAACAGCGGCTGCACGATGTGTTGCTGTGCCCCCGTCAGAGAAACGCCGGAGAGATTGCTGGAGTATCCAAAATATCCCGCGGAATAGGAGCACCGAGCACAGTTAACACGCTTAACGTTACACCTCCGTGCTTCGTGCCTTTCAGATCTTGACTGGCAAATGCTCGGCTGCTTAGAGGAAAAACAATAAACAAAAACTCTGCATGGGATTAGGACTAACATCAAGCGTGTAACTGGTTTTACTGAACTCAGCCTGTCAGTTCCTGTTGTCTCTAATCAGCATGCTTGGGTAGGAGGAGGCTCAGTCAGGCTTCCTATGAAGACCTTTGTTTTTCCATGCGGTATGAATGTACTTCCTTGTTTTGGCCTAACAGTGAAGGCTGATGCTTTGCTAGCAGCATGGCAGTCCTTGTTTTTCATTGCAATTAACTCTTGCTTTATGCTGAAGTTACATGGTGTGCTGTACTTTAACATCTGTGCAGCGAAATGAAACAGTTCAGTGTGTAAAATGATGAGGGGAAAGTCGGGTATGGATAAAAACACCTCATCTGCAGTGGATGTACGTGTTTTTGAGTGCTGCTGATCAGTTTTGAATTAGTATGTAAAATGGAGCTTCTCTTCTGAAATAGGCAGGATTGAGGGTTTTTTCCTTGTTTAGTCTAACTGAACTACCAAAAGCGTTAATTTTAAGGGATATGCTAGGCCAGAGGTGGTTCTAGCCTAGCCTAAATGGCAGGCTAACCAGCTCACAGGTTATGGGGTGCTAGGCAGTTCGAGGTGTTTCAGCAGATATCCCAGCTATTTCATTTAAAGTTATACAGTAAAGACTCTGTATTCTAAACAAACAAACAAAAACTTCTTGCTAAACCAGAGTCAGTGAAAAGGATGTGAAAACCTTCCATCTCCCAAGTATAGGAAACAGGGCCAGGATGATGGGCAGAAGCACAAACGTGTTGTTTTTATTTTTTTTTATGAATTGCAAGGGTTTTTACCCAGTTGCCTTATTGGCTTCACCAGAGCGATGTTTACTTGCATGTTTTCAGATTTCTTTATTCAGACGAAGTTCAGATTGGACCGGAGACTGTTATGACAACACTTTACACAGCTAAAAAATACGCTGTTCCAGCCCTTGAAGCTCATTGTGTGGAGTTTCTTAAAAAAAACCTCCGAGCGGACAACGCGTTCATGCTGTTAACACAGGTGAGTTTGCTGTCATTTGCATTAAGTACCTTTGAGCAAGGTCCATCACAGCAGGAAACCAGCAGCTTTCTGAGTGTTAGGGAATTGATTCTCCAAAATGGAGCAGTTGTGTGTCGTTTTTGAGTTCTTCCTTCCAGGAGTCTAGTGCTGATGAGCAGGATCTTACAAAGAACGATGAAATAACAGCAAATGTTGCTGCTTTGTCAGATCTGCTCTCTCTTTCTTTGTGGCGGGTGATTCCTTCCGGAGCGTGAGCTGGGGAAGAAATTAACAGGGTGGAAAATTTTCATCTTCCGAGAAGAAAAGTGAAATGAAAGGATTTTTGTGTGTTCAGATTCAGGACTGGTGTAATAAGCTTTCTCTGTTCAAAGCTTGCTGCATCGAGCTAGTCAGACATTCTTTGAAGGGCTTTTTTGCAATAGCTTCCCCAAAACGGGGGTGAAAGAAAATGCAACCTTTTCATGAGTGCTTTAGTTTATTTTTCCAGGAGTGGAACAAAGTGATCTCTTCCTCAGCCTGTTTCAGCTCACCCACTGTACTAAAGGCACATAAACCTGGAGTTTCAGTGCAGCTTTGTTTCTTGACCCTGTGAGGCCAGTTGCACATCCTTGTGCCCCTCTGATGTGCTCTGTGAGGGTTGGGGCTCCTGCATCTTCCGTTTGACTCTTCTAAGCAGCAAACTAGAAGACAGTGTTCACAACTTCTGCCTGTTCTGGAGAAGATCAGGCTTTGCATGCGGGTTGATGAAGTTAGCATCACTGTCCTCCCCATTTCCTAGCCCCATCTTTTCTTTCTGGTTCCTGCCACCCTCTCTGCTGAGAGCTGATGACATATCGGTGACTTCCACTGTGCTGTCACCTCTTGCAGTGTCTGTGGCAGTGCTGGGGACACCCTGTTCTGGGTCATGCAGGAACAAGAAACAGGCATTTTGTGAGTGAGTTTCTTTCCTTTAGGGAATGGGCATACTTTTGACTAGCTCTGGAGGAGTATTTCTGATCAGCCCGCTGGGAAAGCTGTCGTGGTTCCTCATGTTAAACCTTGCAGAGGAGTTCTCACAGCGGCCCTGACCTGGGAGCCAGTGCACTAAGGTGGTCTGGCTCTGAGGGGTTGTCCTGTCTTGCCCAGTGTGTCTGCCTGCTGTCTTTAGTCCTCCTTGTCAGGAGTACAGCTGTGGCTGTAGTTACCACATCGGTGACAGTGTCTACACCCACAGTTTTTGCAGAAATTGAAGCAGTGTTGCCCTGAAGCAGTCGCTGCTGAGCCCGTTGCCTGTTTGCTGTGATTAAGCTGGGGGTTTATTTGAGTTGAAAGATTTGGATCAAGTTTTCGAAGTAGTTCCACTTTACACTGCTGTTGCAGACACTCTTCTCTGCGAGGATTCAGCTATTGCTGCAAAGCACCATGTCTCTCTTTACACATCCTCTTTGTGACTTGGCTCTTTCCCACATGCCATAGAGGGGCGAGGCAGCCTCCGAGACGTGGGGGGAACCACGCTGCACTTCCCTGGGGAAGATTCAGGACTTAAAGATTCTTACTTGGGTGATGGCAAGCAAATCTCCACACCCATCTGGTGTGTGGCAGGACAATTGTAACTCTTCGGCTGCAGCTCTCCGGTTCTTTTTGTTCAGCAGCCTGCAGTCTGAAAGATCTTATCCAAGAGCTCAGAAGTGATCTTTCCCGTAGGCTGCAGTTTTGAAGAGGCGCCTTACGCCAGCCATCACCTCATGGGGATTAGAGGTGTCAGCTTTTTGGTGGCATTCTTCTTTGCAGGGATTTTTGTGGCGTGCTAAGTCTCTGCAGCCTTACTTCGCAGCTTTGGCAAGGTAACGTTTAGGTTCGTGGTGACTTCCTTACAAGTCACAAAGGTCCTTCTTTGATAAAACAGGAAGGTGTCCTAATTTTTCAGATATCAAAACCAACACACTTGCCTGGCACTCTGGCAGCTTGCACTGGGGCAGCTGAAATGCCAGATGGAGACAGGCTTTCCTGATTCCTTTATGGCTTATCCATTATGATTAATTATCGTATCTTAGTTTATGTTCACTGTTGCAGTATATCAAGTCTCTAAAATGTTCAGGGGCTGGTGTTCTTTGAGAAGCGTATCTGTATCTCAATGACTGGCTGCACGAGGCACCTCACTTAATCGGATCTGTTCTAAAAATGCTCTCGGTTCTGGTCCTTCAGTGTGAAAATCAGCCTCTGTTTTCTGCTTCTGCTGCAACAAACTGACAATTTGTCCAGTCAGTTAGAGACCCCAGATGCATCTTGTACAAACCATTTCCCAACAGGTTTAAGATTGAGGACGGAAGGTCGTAAGGCCCCAAACCTCCGAGTCCTGCTGGTCCAGAAACTCTGTCATTGACAGCATTTCAAGGAACTGCTAATCTCTGGCAAAAATACCAGTGGCAAAAACTCTCCTAATGGATTGCACCTCATAGTGAACTGCAATCCTCTTTCATGCCAGATGTACATGCAAATGTCACTTTGATCAGCAAGGGAATAATAGCTTGCCTAAAGCTGCTGAGGGGGAGAACTCCACGAGTGCAAAAGCCCTTCACGTGTCAAAAGAGAGCCACTACAGTAGTAAAGTCTGAGTCAGTCGCAGCTCTCGGATGCCAAGAGTGTAAGGCACTGGCAGTCCTCCAGCCCCAGGAGCGGGTGACGACTGCTGAAGCTTCTCTGGTCCCTGAGAAAATGGAGAGTTGTTTCAGCTCTCTGCACTTGAGGTCTCGGCGTCGAAGGTTGGCCTTGCTGAGCTCTACAGCCCACGAGCAAGAGTGAAGCAGAAGATGCTCGACAGTGCCAGCCTCCCTGCGTGACTGAATTCCCAGCCCAAACCACAATTTTTAAACCTTACCTGTGGCAGTCACTTAAGTCTCAGTGTACTCTTCCGCTGATGTTAGGCCTGATGTCAGGGCAGTTCCTTCCTAAACAGCAAAACCAAAGCACTGGGAATAAGAGGTCATCTTAGTGACTTTAGTGTGTTCCCACCTCATTTCTGCTCATGTCTTGGCGGTCCAGGGGGATCCGAAGTGGGAGTGAAATTGTTCTGAGACTGCCCTTAAGTTGGGCAGGGAGATTCTGAGCAACTCTCCAAGCTGTGTGCAGGCTTCGTTTGGAACAGTAACCTATTTTGGGGGAAATTCTTTAAGGTAACTAGATTAGAGTAGCTGTTTCTGTGCAAAACATGCAAATGCACTAACTAAGCAGGCTGCAAACCCCGCAGGATTTTGCACATCTCCCTGGGATGCAAGCAGTGTGCCTGCTAAGGTGTTTCTGCTAATACATGAGATCGGTGTGACAGTTCTTACAGGATAAGCTGCCTCTGCATATTCCTAGAGCGAGCAGGCCTGGAGTCACTGGGCAAAGCTTTCTTCTAAACATAAAAATGAAACAGTAAAAATGACCGGCGCTCAGCCGGAGCAGTCAGTATGGCGCTAGAAAGCACTACAGCCACGTTAACTGGTGTGATGTTAAAACAAAGACGTGCCCGAAGACATGCACAGCTAAACCAGAACTGATGCCAAATGCAGATTTTTCTAGTGTTTGCCTTGTCATGCTTAACTGCTTGTGAAAGCCTGCTGCAGCCCAGCGAATTCATGATGCAGTCAGGCGTAGTATTGCTAATGAAGATGGGCTCTGGGGGAGAAGGGGGGGTGTGTGTGTCTTTACTTAGTGTAAACTATAAAATACTTTGTCTGCTAATGACTGCTGCTTCATTACTTAAGGCAAGACTTTTTGATGAGCCTCAGCTGGCCAGCCTTTGCCTAGAGAACATCGACAAGAACACATCGGATGCCATCAATGCGGAGGGGTTTACAGACATTGATCTGGGTAAGCTTTGTCCCCTCCTCCCTTCCCTGCTTTCATAACAAGCTCCACAGTTATTACAGGTTAATACTTGGCACTTCTCTTCCGTGGCTTTGCTGTTCTGGAGCGATCTGTTGAGCGAGCAGTCTCTGGCACTAAGTGGCTAGAGACAAGGTATTTGCAAAGGAGCATGCTTGCTTGCAGAAATAGCCTGGAATCTGCTTTACTTTGGTGCAACTTGAGTTTTCTGGGCACGATACAAAGCCCGTTTCCTCTGTTGATGTTGGCAGGTTTTGGGTGGGTGTAACTTGCCTTCTTATGTGGAGTTGGCATCTTTCCCTGAGTCTCTGTCAGGTTTTGGAGTTAAAAAGGTGTTGCGTTTTTGGAAGCAAGAACTGGCCATTTTAATTATCGTACGCAGTTTCCAAACTGGCTGGGCACAACGAATAAACATTAAAATTCAGACTTTAACATTAGAAGAATTAGAAAATTCTTCTAATGAGATGGACTGTGGAGGTAAGGCACGGGTAACCTTTCTGGCTTTCATGCTGCTCGCTTCATCCAAATTTGACATCAAGTAAGTTGCAATTCATTCTACCGCACTTCCATTAACGTGCCAATTAAACGGGCACCGTTTGCCACTCCAGCGAGTTACTTGCTTATGGAGTATGCAGATAGATCTTCCTCAGAGGCTGCAGGCAGCACTTTGGGGAGATGTTGGTTTGTTGTTTTTTTTTTCAATTGCTTCTCTTTTGCCTTGGCTGCACATAGGGTCCTTCTGGCTAGGTGAAGTCGGGTGATTTGGGTTAGTGCCTAAAGTTGTCACTGTCTATCCTGCCTTGCAGACACCCTGGTTGCGGTGCTGGAGAGGGATACCCTGGGGATCCGGGAGGTTCGTTTGTTTAATGCAGTGGTTCGCTGGTCAGAGGCTGAGTGTCAACGGCAGCAACTTCAGGTGATTCCAGAGAACAAGCGGAAAGTACTGGGCAAAGCGCTTTCTCTTATCCGCTTCCCATTGATGACTATTGAGGAGTTTGCAGCAGGTAACTGAACAAAAGGCGTTTCTGGCAACCCTGGTCTTTCCTTTCTCTGAACTACAGAGGATCAAGTACATGAAAATGGATTTTCTCTGTGTTTTCTGTAGTAATTTAAATTTGAGGTTGCTCCCCATTCCCGCTGCTCTCTAAATGCTGTTTTCATCCATGATCATTCGCTCTTGTTTTAAAGACTACAGTGCCCCATCAGGTAGGAGCAAGTCGGATCGTAGCCGAGTGTTCATACTCCCAGTATGTTTTTTAGATGGTTACTTTCTCATTCACCTGAGAGCAAAGATCCAAACGGGGGTTCGCATCTTCCCGTTCTCACCAGTCTGAGTGCTTCATCTGCGCAAATAATTGGTGTTGATTGTAGCCTGCTCCGAAACGCAAATGAGGATGTTTCTCGCCATCCTCTGTTTGCTGCGGTGTTGGCCGTGTCATGCTGATGCCCTTCAGAGCAGAGCCCCGTACCAGAAAAAACTTTCAAAATGTTTTTTGAGTTGAAGGGCTGGTGGTGTTTAGTCTGCCTCAGAGCTTTTTTTCAAGTTTATGTTCAGATGTTGATCTACAAAGATGTCTAAATCATTTAACAGTTTTGACTAAAGATTTTTTTGTTTTGTTTTGTTTTCATTGCCTGTTGTCTTTGACTTCATCCTCTGGTGATTCTCCAGGGATTGCAAACTGGCAATCAGCTTAAATAGTTTTTCATGCTGAAAGACACGGTGGAGCCATTTTCAAAACTGAAACTTGGTTTAGGCTGCAGTTATGTGTACAAAGAAGCAAAAAAGGGTCATTGACACCACTTCCTTTGCAAATTGCTTCTCAAGGCAGAGATTTATCGACAGTTAATGTACATATTTCGAGATGAAGGGGGACACAAGTAAGAAGTAAATCTGGGCTTAAAACTTAGTACCTGCTTTCTGTTCTGCCTGTGACAGCTGCCATGTGGTCTTAGGGACGTGGATCCCTTCAGAAAGGGTTTGCTCAGGGAGGCAGAGGCCCGCTCACGGAGCTGGTGCCTTCCCTTGGCGCTGGCAGCAGGTGACAGTGCGGCACGCTCTGTCCCTCGGCGTGCGCCGCGCCCCAGAGCGGCCCCGCAGCAGTCACGGGCTCACGCTCTGGCTTGATGGGCAAAGAGTGTCCTGATGCATAGTTACAGCCATCAGATTTGTGTATACCAAGCTTTGTGGTTTTCTGTAGGTCCCGTTTCTTGCAACGCTTCCTACAGATACTACATCATTCTATCTCACTGGGAGGAATGTGTTAATTGAGTTTTATTTAGGCTGAAGCCTTTGAGCTGGGAATGTCGATGCCTTTCCTCATACTGTGTGTCCCAACTGCCTGTTCAGCTTGGGTCTTTGGTTAGTCTTCTTGCTTTGAGAGCAACTCTTAAGGTTTTCTCCATCCACTTTCACCTAAAAGATGAACAAAAGAAACCCCAAACCCGAGAGGCTGTGCTGGTCAGCTGTTCCTTAAACAAGGGACTACCTTGGACTTGCTTCAGCTTCATCCTTTTGCTGAGTTTCTGAGTGACTCTGATTTCTTTGGTGATCACAGCGGAGGTAGGAGAAAGAAACCACTACCCTTCTCCCAAAAGCAAAAAAAAGGAAAAAAAAAAAAAGGCATTTTTACAGGCAGTGGTTTCACCAGTTTATTGTATAATCTGGTATCAAACGTGGAGTTTTGCATGAAGATGTTTTAACTGGCAAATGTGTCACTCCCCTTAGAGCAAGTAATTTGAAACATTTGAGAATTGAATTGAAGCAACACAGGATAAGTTTAGACATGATAAATGACGGCTGATTTTTGCTGAGCAAAGTATCCACAAGCTCATTTATCTGTTAACAGTCAACTTCCTTTAATTCTTTCCTCTCTACCTATGGCAGCCTCGGACCAGGTTATGTCTGCGTAACGTTGTGCTGAGTTTAACCAACTACAAGTCGTTATGGACCAACAAGTAGCTAGGCATTGGCTTCCTACATTAAAGAGCACTTACAGCCGTTGTTTCTCCAGTATGCAACTAGTCTTATTTCTGTTAAAAACCTCTTGCAAACAGAAGTGCAGAGCGGCTTTTGACCCTTATGCTAAAAGACTTAATTTTTACCCAGTTCCACTTTTGAAAGCACTCAAAGCAGTTTCCAAAGTTTAACATCACTTTGGAAAAAAAAAAACCTCTGGTTACCGGAAAAAAGATGAGAATGTCTTTCAACACTTGCTAAAATGGTTAGCTTTTTTTCCCCCTACAAAAGTATTAAAACCCCCAAACAAACCCAAGGGAAGGGGGGAATCAAAACAGGGCGTGAGCTGAACCACCTTTGTCTTGACTGAGAAATAGTCCTGTGCTTTCCGAGTCGATGGTAACCAGGTGACATTCCCTCCCGCTACCCCTCGTGGGCTTTCATGATGTCTTAGCAGTCGTGTTACAAAATACTGGTGTAGATGTGTGAAAATCCCTGTCTCTTACCAGTATTATCGTCTCCTGAGGGAGTGGGGGAAGGATTAGCTGCATGTTTTAGGGTTTTTAAACCAGTCCTGTTAGCCGAGTGCGGGTCGGCTCCGCAGAGCTGCGTGTGGAGGCTCCGCAGGCCGCGACTGGCGTGCAGATAAAAGCAGGCAGCGCGTTTCTGTCTGGGGTTTAACTTCCTGACACACCAGCGAGATCCCCTCTCTGATGTGGGTTTGGCCCCCGCCGAGCTGCAAGTCAAGTTTGCCTCCCCACGTAAACCCCCAAAAGCTCCCTTCTGGTTTCCGAAGGCTGACGGCGTCGCTGCTTTCGTGCTCCCCTGCAGGGCCGGCGCAGTCGGGGATCCTCACGGACCGGGAAGTGGTGAGCCTGTTCCTCCACTTCACCGTGAACCCGAAGCCACGGGTGGAATTCATCGACAGACCGCGGTGCTGCCTGCGGGGGAAGGAGTGCAGCATCAGCCGTTTCCAGCAGGTGGAGAGCCGCTGGGGGTACAGTGGGACTAGTGACAGGATAAGGTCAGCTTCTCTGCTAATTCTGCTGCTGATAGATTCGTGTTTACTGAGCTTTGAGCCTACTCTAGACCTAAACCCGCAGGGTTACGTGCTAGACCCTGACTTCCACCCCGTAAAGCCCGGCGCAGGCGCTGAAGGGAAAGCGTTTTGCTGGGCAAAAGCATCGCCTGACGCGTTAACCTGCGTGTGCAGCTGCAGGCTGCCGCTTTGCTTCGGCACTGGCAAAGGTTTCCAGCAGATGCGGCCCTCTGGCACAGGCCTCTTGGGGGATTAATTTCTCCCCTTTTCAAGTGGTTTCCTGCAGCTGTACGGGCACGTAGTGGTTGGGGTCACCAGGCAGCTCATGGCTTCCTCCTGTGCCTGGGTATGTCAACTCACCAGTGCTCCGTCAGGTTGGTTCCCTGCTCTGTTCTCAACGTAAACGTGGCTTGTTGAAGGCCTTTGCCTGTTTCAGGGAGGCATTAGGATAAAACGCTTGCTGCGCCCGCTTTTCTGCTAGGATCTAGTTTGTTTAGACCCAAGCTTGTGGAGCAACAGCAGAGGTCAGTCGTGGTGAGAGACGTGGAGCGTGGCGTGGCAAATGGTGGTTTGCAAGCCTTGTGTGGCCAAGCAATTAGAGCAAGACAGGAGGTGATCAGAAAGCCTTGATTATTTCCTGATTCATCTTGGTCTTGGGTAGAAGGAGAACTCGCATTAATACAGTTCTTTACAATTTTTAAGCCTTTTTCTCGACAGTTCTCTTGCATATCAGTAGAGCTGTCACTTGGATCTTCTGGTGCATCCATCCCCTTAGAGCAGATTGTAACTGGAAGAGCTGCAAGCTCCAAACACTTACTGCTCTCAGATCTAACACAGACCTTTTGGAGCTTGAATTTGACTTTCAGTTCAGCTGGTGGCAGCATCAGGGCCAGCCTTCAGCATAGCTTGTGTGCAGTTTCGACACTAAATATTTTATGCTGCTTGCAGAGCAGTGGCTTCTAGCCTGCCACGAGTGTTTGTTCTTGAAACGCGCAGCCCCGAAGAGTTGGGTGGGTGGAGAAATTACGTGGGCAGATTGGCAGGTGCTGAGGCTTTCTGCTACCTGAGGAGGGGGAGCTGCAGTGGGGCAGCTATTCCCTTTCCTGCATTCAGGAGCTATTGAATCTTAGTTTCTACTCTTGGGTAAACCCCGAGCGCAGCTGTATCCAGCAGGTGCTCAGAAGCACATCAGCAATTCTCCTTCAGTGCTCAGCAGTGAAATATCTAATGATGCTTTAAGTGGTTTTTGCTGTTCCTTGCCTGGTGGGACTGCTGCTGCCCTGAGGGTGGGCACTGTTCTGTGCTCTGCAGGCTACCCTGCCTTTGCCTGCCTCGTGTTTTGGGATGCTGATACTGTACCAAAACTCCAAAACACCTTCTGGGCCTGGCCTCTGAAGTTTGGTGACGGGATTGTGCAGTTCTATATTTTACATGAGCAAACAAAATTATTGCTGGCCTGTTAGGAGAGTCAAAGGTGTAAGCTTACAAATTACAGTTTCTGTGAAGGATTTCAGTTGAGAGTAAGAATTGCATTTAAAACTGTAGTACACTTGATTAAATCATAGGTATAAAATTAAAGTGAGTGAAGATATCGGTGCATCATCTTTGTACTAAAACAATACAGGAGTGGCAATTTGGTCTGACTTTGCTGATCTGTTCCTGCAGGTTCTCAGTCAACAAAAGGATATTTGTAGTTGGGTTTGGATTATACGGATCCATACATGGGCCAACGGATTACCAAGTAAACATACAGGTAATTCTCTCTACTGTGTTAAAAATATTTGCTGCTGTAAGAATTTACACATTTTAGTGTATATGCAACAAAATCTGAAGTTAGAAGGGACTGCGTTTGTTTTCTAGACAGGGTGGTTGGCAGATGCAGTGAGGGCCAGATGGGGCCCTGGGGATAAGAGGGATTATTGCTCTCGATTTTATGCAGCCTCTCGCTGCCTGCGTCACTGCGGTACCTCCCCGAGTCCACTCACAGCCTCTGAAAATACATCTCGGAGAGTTGTGACGCAGTTTGAGGAGAAGCTGTGCGTGTTTTTCCCACGCTGAGCAGGCCCACCCTGTGGGTGCTGCAGTAGTACTTGGGCTCTCTTTTGCTCTGAGCTCTACAAATGCAGTGGAGCAGCCACGATTTGTCAGGGAGGAGAAGAAAGCAGGTGCCGTGTCTGTGCTGGGCCTGTGCAGAGCTGATGCGTGGCCTCACGTTGTCAGTGTCCGTTTGAGGTGACAGGTAGCACTGAGGGAGGCTCAGTTGTCTGAAGTCCACTGTGGTTTGTTCAGAGACTGGGGCAGCGTACGGAAAGCTCGTGTGCCTTGTTCTGGATGTGTGTGGCGTGTGTAACCCCAGTCCGGATCACTTGGGAACATCCATCCCCAGGAAAGTCACCCCAGCACAGCGCGGCTGATGTGACCAGCACGGTCTGTCAGCACTTTGTCACTGTCAGGGTCTGCTGGTACCCCTGAGCCCTCGGGGGAGAAAGGCAAGTAAAGATCTAAGGCCTGCAGTCCTCTGCCAGGCCTCGGGGTAAGGAGGGATCGTCTTGGGCTGTCCGGGGCCTGAGCCCACAGTTGCTCGGTGTGATCCCAACGCTGAGGAGGGACATCCATGACAGGACAGTGCAGTCCCAAGGGGTGGTCAAACCCTGGAGTCTGGTTCAGGGGGGACACGCCCGCCCCAGTGCAGGGCAGCGTTCATCCAGCCGTGCAGATTACGAGTTAACACGTGTCTTGCAGATCATCCACACAGACAGCAACACGGTCCTGGGGCAGAACGACACGGGGTTCAGCTGTGACGGATCATCAAACACTTTCCGGGTCATGTTCAAGGAGCCTGTGGAGATTTTACCCAACGTCAACTATACGGCGTGTGCTACTCTAAAGGTACCATCCTGAGGCAGCGTGGGTTGCGGAGGCGAGATAAGGATAGGTGAAAGCAGGCTGCTTTAGCCCCTGCCGTGCAGCGTGGTTCTTGCTCTGCCTTTTTCAAGGCCTCTAATAATAATCTCCAAGGTTTGCTCCGTAGTCCTGCACCTGGTGGTGCAACGAGCACGTTCACCACCAGCGTTCATAGTTGGTTTTTAGCTTGTCCTGCAAGTGTACGGTAATTAACAGGCTACATTAGTGAGGAAGTGGTGGGATTTTTTAAAAATTTTTTTTGGTGTATACGGATAAACTGTCAGTTCTGCAGGTGTTTAATCCAGAGCCTGCCTGTAGCGGCTTACAAAAGTTGATATTTAACTGTTGAGATCTGGTTCAGTGTAGTTGTTAAGTTCTGAGAGAGACGAAATCTTTGCTCAGAATACCTGAGGTGCAAGAACCAGAAAGAAAAGGGAGGTTCTGGGATCTCCAGAACTCGTTGCCTCAGGCCAGGCTGTGAGGCCAAACCCACAGAGTGTACCGGGTCCCCGTCTTGATCTGTTCTTGTCTTCTGTGGCCATGGCAGGGTCCAGATTCCCACTATGGAACCAAAGGACTGCGCAAAGTGATCCACGAATCACCAACAACGGGAGCCAAAACCTGCTTTACGTTCTGTTACGCGGCTGGAAACAACAACGGCACTTCCGTGGAGGATGGACAAATCCCAGAGATCATCTTCTACACATAGTGCAGCTGCGGAGCTGGCTCTGGACTCTTCTGTTCTCTTCCCCGTGACCTTCCAAACTAAATTTCTGGCTGAATTTGACCACACCGATTGGAGCCACACTAGCCAAAGGTCTCAGTAAAATCATTTCAAAGCTCATGTTTTGCCTTGTGCTAGTGATTCTGCTGCTATCACGTACCAGACTAACTGGTACCCCAGTATCATTTGTAGGTTGTCTGTGGCTAAGTCATTTTTTCACTTTACTGATTAATCCTATCTAACAACATGCGTTTTTTTGACTGTAATGAATGTAGATGCTTTTCCACCGGTCAGAAGCATGGAAACGAGTGGCTCTGGTTGTGGTTATACTTGCTGTGAGGAGATAATCCTGCAAAAAGACACAGTCGGGGGCTCTGTGGCCCGTCCTCTGCTGCTCTAGCCCGGCAGTTGAGGCCAGACGCGTTGCCACGCTGCGGTGGCAGGGCCTGACCACCCTGTGCCCGGCACCTTCAAAAAGTTACGGAAAGTGGCCTTTTCCCTGAGGCTTTTGCTGTTTCAGCACTACACGGTCTTGAGGGAGACCTCAAAACTAGAGCGCCCCTGGAGAGACTGCGGCGTTTTCATGCTCTTCTCACTGATTTGTGACAATCCTTTACCTTGGGCAGTTGGCGACAGCGAACTGACCTCCCCTGCGGAGTCGGGAAGGGGCAGCGGCTCCGCCCGGGAAGGCTCTTTCCTCCCCTGGGTGCAGGCCGGGGCCTGGGGCTGCTTCTTTCAAACTCCCGCAGCGGTTTCGGACGCCGGGGGGTGCTGGGCGAGGCCCCGGGCGGCGTCGGGGCCCCCCGGGCCGGGCGTTACTGCGCTGATCCAACCCTGTGCAGGTCGTGCCGGGCTCTGTCGGCTGAAGGGAGCGAGGGAATTTGCCTCGCCTGCCCTCCCCCCCCCCCGCCCT